GGGGGGGGGGGGGGGAGATGCGGCCCGGGGGGCGGGGGCGGGGGGCGGCCGCCGAGGGGTCCGGGGCGCACGGCCGCCATCGCGGGGGGTGCTGGGGTGCACGCGGTGGGTGCTCAGCTCTGGGGTGCGGAGAGGGGCCGGGTGGGGGCCGGGAACCCGACCGAGCCAGCGGCCCCTTTGCAGCTGCTCCGTGGTTTTATTTGGTAAAAATAAATCAAGTGGGTCCTGGGGAGCAGCGGGGGTGGCCCCGTGTCACCATCCGCACCGGGGACCCGCCGTGTCCCTCCTTAAGCGCCGAGGGAGAGGGATGGTGGTGGCCCGGTGCCGCTGGAGGGGACTGCGCGTGCCTGGGCAGGGCTGGCCCCTTGCTGCTGCCTCTCCTGCGAGCAGCATCCCAATTCCCCTTCTTCCAGCTGAAATTAAACTTTATTGCGAATAATGCTCTCTCTCCTTCTTTAATTAAAAAAAAAAAGAGAAAATTAAATTCCTTTAAAAACATATATATAAAAATCACATTTTCTCATATTGAGAGGGGACTTTCACCAAGATAATTATTGCAATTACTCCCTTTCTCGCTCCCAATGAGTATTATTTTTATTCTGTGCCTTTATCCTCGTTTTGCCTGCTCAGGGAGAGCCGTGCAGCCCTGCCTGTGCGCTCGCAGCCCCCTGCATCACGGGCGACGGGACAAAAGCCACGCGAGCCATTGGCCCCCGTCCCCAAAGGGAAGCTGCAGCTGTGCTGGGACCATCAGGGGCCCGTTACTGGGCTCACCTGGGCGGGGGCTGCCAGCCCTCCCTCCCTCCCACTATAAATTTGGGCGGGGGGGTGGGCGAGGGCTCTGCTGTGCTGGGGATGCTGCAGGGCAGCTTGGCACCGTCCCGCTCCTCGGGGCTCCCCGCAGGATGTGGCCCCCCGGCTCTGGGGGGGGCTCTCCCTGGAGCAGGTGGGTGCTGGGCCCCCCAGTTTCCCTCTGCCCGAGGCGATGCCCCGGGAGCCTCCGCGGTGCAGCCTGCTGATCCACGTTTCAAGTTGCTTCGGGGTTTGTTTGAGGTGACCCCGGGAGGGGACGGGGACCCGGACCCCGCTCCTCCCTGTGGGCTGTTCCCCCGCCACGTCCCAGCGGGGCGCGGGCAGCCACAGCAGCCCCGGCACGGGCTCGGGGTTTGCCGTTGGAGCCAGGCCAGGCCAGGGCAGCCTCCGCGGTGGCTTCTAAGGTTTGGTGACGCCGTGTGGGGCTGCGCCCCTCCCGGCTCGGACCCCCCATCACTGGTCCTGTGCGGCAGGGTTGGATGCGGCTGCCCATCTCCCCACCGCGCCCCGGGCATCTTGGTGGTGCCGCAGGGGGTCACGGTGTGCGCGGACCCTCGAGGGGTCCCTGGGGCGGGTCCCTGCCCCGAGCCGGGCTCTGCTCCGTCCCCATGGTGGGGGCCGAGCCGGGCCCCCCCTCACTCGCCCCCTTCTCTCCCCTTTGCCTCTCCGCAGCCGCGTCCCCCCCGAACGCGGTGGACAGGCCCTGCCTGAAGCTGAAGGTGTACGTTCGGCCAACAAGTAAGTGAGCTGGGCTGGGGGGAGCGGCCCTGCCCCGCGGGGCGAGGGCGATGCTCTCGGTGGTCCCGGGCAAGTGGGGACCGTGGAGGGGGACAGGGTGCCCTGGGTCCCAGCTGGTGGCACCCGATGGGGCCGGTGCCTGCAGCCCCGCCAGAGCCGTCCCGGCAGCGGCTGCACCACGGCGGGCGCATCGCCTGCTTGATGGACGTTTGCCACTGAGTTTCGGATAGGGGAAAAAAAAATAATAATCATCTCTGCACAGTGGCTACTTTTCAGAATCAAATAACTCAGCCATTTAAAAAAACAAATTAATAATTTTCTTCTCCTGTTAACGTGTAATTAGCAAATGGCAGCAGCTCTCCCTGGGGAAGGGCTGAGTGCCTGCAAAATGTCACCATTTAAAAGGATGTCTTTCTTTTTTTTTATTTGCATGGCTTTAAAATAAAACCCAATATAATGAAACCATCTGTAAAAAATCATTCTGTTTTGCTCAGGACTAGGGCATAATAGGGGGGGAAAATCTCTCCCGATATTATTTTTCAGTATTTTAATAATACTGGGATTTTATTGCACTGATGCCTCGTGGAGAGGAAGGGCTGCCTTTGTGCTGCGAGGGGCAAGGGGCTTTGCCCCGGGGGCTGCGGGGGCTCCCCGAGCGCCGTCCTGGGCCGGGCACCCCGGGGCGAGTCCCCGAAACCTTCTCATTTCCAAGTGCCTGGCGTGGGGGGACCCCGCACAGGGCCCCTCCAGGAGCAGGGGCGAGGGGGCCGGGTGCGTTGGGGGACAGAGCATCCCCGGACAGCACCAGGCTCTGCTTTTCCTGGCTCCAGGTCCCTGAAAATCCTTAATCCTGTAACAAACATGAGCGAGCCGAGCCTGGGGAGCGCGTTAGCAGCTTCAGCCATCATTTAACTGCTCCTCGGCGCGCTCTGGGCTGCTGCCGGCCGGGATTTGGCTGCGGGTGCCCCTGCCCTGCGTGGGCTGGTCCAGCCCCAGCCCTGGCACCCGCCTCTGGCACAGGGGGCTGTGGGGGGGCTTGGGAGGGGCCGGGGTGAAACGCTGCCTAATCCCCTTTAGAGGGCAGGAGCCGGGGCACCCTGTGCCCTCGCCCACCCCCCAGCCCCGGAGGGCACCCACAGCGTCCCCATGCTGCCCACCCCCGTGGCACAGGGCTGCCGGAGCTGCACGTCGGTGTCGCTGCTTCAGGTCTGGCAGCGGCGCTTTCGGGGAAGCCAGGAGTCCCTGAGTCCTTTATTTTTTTTAAATCCCATTAATCTTGAGATGGTGCCAGGGTTTGGGGGGGGATCCTCGCCGCAGGGCTGCTGCTGCATCAGCAGCACCTGGACCCCAGCCCCCGGGGTGCTGAGCATCACCCCCCTTCTGCCAGGGCAGGATCTGCCCCGGAGCGCGGCCATCCCGCACGGCTCTGCTGCCGGCTGACGCTTCCCTCTCTTCCTCCCCTTCCGCAGACGATTCCCTCTACGAGTCTCCGGAGCCCATTTTCACCAGCAACAACTCCTGCTGCAGCCTCAGGGTCCCGCACGCCATGCTCGTGGTGGTGCCGGTCGTCTGGACGCTCCTGGCCTCGTAGCTCCAACGCCGACGTGCCGGGGAGCGGCTCCGTGGGGAAGGCGCAGCCCAGGGACGGATCCTGGCCACCCCGAATCACCTTCAAGCTGCGGCTCCTGCGGCAGCGGGACGGTGCCTGGAGAGGTCGTTGGCGCGGTGGGTTGGTGCTGCCGGCAAGAAGCTCGCCCGGATCCAAGTCCCCGGCCTTGCAGGGCCACCCGTGCCGGGGCATCGCGCCGGGAATGGTGAAGGGCTGCCCTGCGGGACGGATCCTGGCTGCGCACGCCGAAAGCTCCCGTCCCTGCGTTGCGGCTCACTTGGCGCCAGCCCTCCTGTCGGATGTTGCTTTTTACATTTCTAGACCAAATAGAGAGTCCTCGTTTGTTCGGTTCTTTTTTTTGTTTTTTTGGTTTTTTTTAAAGAAAAAAGATTTTTATTTTTATTTGTCAGGTTGTTTCAGCCCGGGCTTCCCCGTGTCAGACTGTCCCGCACGGGGCCAGGCTCAGCCCCCTACCGCAGAGCCCCTCGCCGGGGCGGCTGCAGCACCCTGCCTTCACCCGGCCGCAGGCAGAGCCACAGGCAGCACCGGGACGCCAGGAGAGACGGACACCAGCGATGGTGCCGATGGCTCCGTTGTCGCAGACTCCTTCCCAGCTGGGCTCTCGCTCCAGCAGCAGGACGTCGCGCTTCCCCTGCCACCCCCCTGCCACGGAGGTGCGGGGACGGGGGGCCTGGTCGGACCCGAGCCCCTGCTGAGCACCCGCTGGGGTGACCCTGTCCCCACCACTCGAGCCATGGATGTCACCGCTGTCCCCATGGGACCCCGGCGTGGCTCTGCAGGCAGCAGAGCAAACTGGACGCAGCTGAGGGGAGCCCCAGGGATGCCCGGCCGGCACGTGGAGCTCCAGGGATGCCCGGCCGGCACGTGGAGCTCCAGGGATGCCCGGCTGGCACGTGGAGCTCCGGGGATGCCTGGCAGGCACGTGGAGCACCGCCGGGCGCTGGGAGCCGGCGGGCCGGGCTCGCCCAGCAGCTGGGATCGCTCCACAGGCGTTCGGCTGGAGCTGGGGCTGGAGTCCCCGCCGGTGGCAGGGCTGATCTCACCGGGGCAGTAGGAGCGTGCCGGCCCTGGCGCTGCCCGCGGGGCAGGTTTTCCTCCTCCGCAGCCTTCTGCTCCACACTGCGTCCCCCCCCGATGCCTTGGGGGTGCGAGAGCCCCCCCCGGGGGGACCGGTGGCCGCGTGCGGGACCATCGCGGCGCTCCCCATGGTCGCCCCTTCATCCGTCCCCCAGCTGCTGCCGGTGTCCCCGGGGCTCCGGCGCTGGGCTTGGGGGACTTTTTCCTTATCCTTCTTTGCATTAATAAGAGAAACCCACCCAAAGCCCCGGTCCGAGGTGGGCCCTGATGCCAGGGGTGGCAGGTCCCCAAGACTCGATGATCTTGAGGGTCTTTTCCAGCCTTGACGATTCTATGATTCTATGATTCTATGATTTTAAGAGTAATTTCTAATTCAAGGCGACATGTTTGGAACTAACAGGTTTTGCATTCTGTCCCTTGTTTTTGCTCTTCATTACAAAGTTGATTAACGTAATCTCAGAGGCTAGGGAACACAACAAACTCAAGGAAGGTAAGATACACCGTTATGCATACCATAGGAGGAGAAAATAAATGCAACCACGTCATCTCTCTGTGGCCATGACACACCTTTCTAAGTCTTCTATTCATCACCTGGAGAGTGGCTTTTCTAGGGCATTTGTTTGCAAATAGTTTCCCTGCAGTAGAATTATTGTTCAGGAGAGAAATCATCTTGGCCAGAGTTGTTCATGCTTTAAAAGAAAAGTTTCCACCCAATTGCAGTGAGGGGCTGCCAAACTTACCTCTAGTTACTTCTTGTATGACCTCTAGTGTCATACAAGACACTATGCTCAGAGAAGCAGCAATAATTGGTTTGTGTTTTCTTTACAGGAGTTAAAAAGGAGGCCAGATTTCCTTTTTTTGGAATTTCACTGTTCTCCTAGCTGGCCATGATGCTGCTGTATTGGGAACAATGGGGCTTTTCGGTGCCTCCCATACGTATTAATTATATGAGGGGGAGTGGGTACAGCCTTTAAGCCACAATAGAAAAGTCCATTTTTCAAACCCATTATGCTTTTTCCTTGTCAAATTGTAGAGTATTTATGGTGTTCTTTGTAAGACTTTTGTTTGTTTTAGCAACATAGACTACATATCACTGGGACCTACCTTTAGAGTAGATTTTTCCTCCATGGGAGATGAACAGTGCAGAATAAGTCATAACTTCTGTGAAAATAGCCTCTGCAGTAAAGCAGTGAGAAATCCTAAAGAATAGAAAGAAAACGTATAGATCTGGCTGCAAGGCAGAGCAAAATAAATGATAAGATTTGTGCAACTGAGGAAATAGGAAATAAAAGAGCAGCGTTAAGTGGTAGTACTGATAGCTGCAGCCTGGGAAAAAAAACACCTGGAAAACAGCTCTGAAAAACTTGGGGGCTGAGAGTCCATTTGGAAAACAGGGATTCTTCACTACAGTAGAGGTGATTTGATACAGGATTTGTACTGATGCACTAAACTATGTAGAGTTTGAAAGACTAGAGCTGTTATTTGTAAGCTTTGAAATGAAACTGTAGGTACGCATTGCATACAAAAGAGATCGATATGGATACAGGAGTCACTGACCAAACCCTTGTTGAGCCGATGATGCTGAACATCGCTCATATCCAGTGAATTCAGCAACCATTTTGGGCACAGAGCTCTGCAGGGTGAGACCAAAAGTGAAACAGTTTACATCTGCTGAGAATAAGATTACTCTGAGGGGAGGGGAGGGGAGGGGAGGGGAGGGGAGGGGAGGGCACCCCCACCTGCTCCTCTCTTCCTTAAGTGCTAAATAACTTTTTGTGCGGCCCATGTTCATTTCCCGGCATTTAACGCGTATTTCAGCATAATTAGCAGAATAAGAACAATCCGTTGTTAATTAATTCAGGCTCGTACAGCTGATCCGAGGCTCTGAAGTTTGCCACGAGAGGGTGAAAGACTAATTTTGCTTTTTAATAAGGGCCATCTGTGTGCCAGGAGCAGGAGAAATACCGGCACCGACGGCCGGGGAGGCGGGTGCCACGTTGAGCTCCGTGGTCGCTGCCGGCTCTGCCAGCTCCTGCCAATGGGCTCCGGCAGTGAAAAGTGCCGGGGAAAGAGCCCGGCGGGGACTTACCGAAAAAAAGGCAATTTTTTAGACCCACTCAGTAGGTTTTTTTGAGGCCTGACTCATTACTTTTTTAACGCTGGGGGTTGGAAATACGGAGTTAAAAATAGCAAACTGGCAGGCGCAAGGCTGAGACGGATCATCGTTAGTAATTAATTAATAGAGTCATGGATTTTTAAGGCCTGAAAGGGATCATTGTGATCAGGCAGCCCGTCTCTCTCACAGAGGCGGCGAGGTTTGATTTAAGGACTCGTGGGGATGGAGAG